GCTTAGTGGTGATAAATTCTTTTAATTTTTGTTTATTTGGGAAGACTTTTTATCTCTCCTTCTATTCTGAATGACACTCTAGCTGGATAGAGGATTCTTGGCTGCATATTTTTTGTCTTCATCAGATTGAAGATTTCCTGCCTATCCTTTCTGGCCTGCCAAGTTTCAGTAGATAGCTCTGTCACTACTCTGATAGGTTTCCCTTTGTGTGTTAGGGTCCTTTTATCCCTAGCTGCTTCCAAATTCTCTCTTTGTCTTTATATTTTTCCAGTTTCACTATGTTATGTCGTGCAGAAAATCGATTCAAGTTACGTCTGAGGGGAGTTCTCTGTGCCTCTTGAATTTCAACATATACTTCCCTCCCCAGATTGGGGAAGTTCTCTGCTATAATTTGTTCAAGGGCTCCTTCAGTACCTTTCCCTCTCTCTTCCGCTTCTGGAATTCCTATGATACGGATATTGTTCCGTTTGACTGTATCGCTGAGCTCTCGAACTCTTGTTTTCCTGGATCAATTTATCTCTCTTTTTCTCAGCTTTCTCCTTTTCTATAATTGTGTATTCTAAATCACCTATTCACCTTTTTGCCTCTTCAATCTGTGTATTGGACGCCTCCATTTGACTTTGCATCTCATTTATAGCATTTTTAAATTCATCACAACCAATTTTAAGCTCCATAGTCTTTGTAGCAATAGTTTTTCTGATGTCTTCCATGCCTTTTTCAAGCCCAGTGATTAATTATTATTCTAAATTCTTGTTCAGTTATGTTGCTTATATTTGTTTTGAGCAGTTCTTTCACTGTCATTTGTTCCTGGAATTTCTTTGGAGGAGAGTTCTTCCGTTTCGTCATTTTGGTTAACTTTCTATCTCTTGTTAGTTTTAAAAGCTTTTTATGCACTCTGCCCCTGCGGGTTCTACTGTATTAAGGAGGGTGCTTTGACTGTCCAGTGCCTGTCCATTCAGAAAGTGTTTTTTGAATGATGTCTCTTGGTCTTTCTTGTTGAGACCTTGGTTATTTTATTTCCCTACTCATAGTGATATTTGAGACTCTCCACCATGTGTACTTTGGCTTGTTTTTTGAGGTAGCTCTGGAGAAAAAAACAGACAGACAAACACACAGAGAACAAAGGCACAGAAACGCACAGACGAAACCAACAAACACACAAGCCAAAAGGGAAGAAGAAAAAGAAAAAACAAGGAACATATACCAAAAATAAAGAGAGAGAGAGAGAGAGAGAAGAGGAGGGAGGGAAGACAAATAATAAATATCAAAATACATGAAAAAGAAAAAAGAAGAAAAGAAAAGGAAAAAAGAAAAAAACCAATAGACAAAAGATAGTCTAAAACATAGAACCAGAATTCCAATTGACAAATAAATAGCAGGGTGTTTGCAGTGCTGGTGGAAGAGCATATACAAAGAGAGATGACAGGGAGGGGAGGAAGCAAAATTGGAAATGAAATGAGCAGGTAGAAAGACTAAGAGGATTAATTCAGAGAGAGAAAGAGGGGAATATGGTTGGAGAGGAGGTGAAAAAATGACGATAATGCTACTCAGAATAACTATATAGTCTGATTACTCCAGAGAGAAAGAGGTAAAAAGGTAGCGGTGGAGGTGTAGAATTTACATCTAGAGAATGGATTAAAGTGACTGTTAAAGCAAGCCAGTGACCAGAATTAATCAGGGCAGTGCATCACTTTTGGTCTTGCCTCAATTCCAGGAAAAAAAAAAAAAAGAGGGCAGTGATCTAGCGTGGATGGGCGTGGTTTGGTCCAGTGCGTCCGGCGGGGTTCCTACCTTGGTGGATGTGGGGAGAAAATTGGAGGTGACCCAGTCCATTCTCGAACCAAGCATTGCAACTCACTCTTTTGCCTGTGATCTCCCTGTGCAGGGGGCGTAGCCAAGGTGGGCTGTGCTCTATATCTCAAACCAGGCCTCGTTTCCAGATCTTAGTCTGGGTGTCCCATTGATCTTGCCTGAAATATTATCTCGCAGGCAGTTCCTCAGAACAGTTTCAAGCCTCTCGCCTTCCCCCTGGGGATCCAGCTGAGCCAGAAGCACAAAGGGACAGATTCAGGCGCCGCTGGGTTCCCTCCAGGTCGGGCTGGCAAGTGAAGAGCAGTTTCACCCAGGGCCGCCAGGAATCAGTGCGTCCCGCCTGGGGTCAGCTGGACAGCAGGAAACTGGGTCCCTCTGGGTCCCATAGTCCAAAATATAAACTCATGGGTGAGTCCATCAGAGCAGTTTCAAGTCTCTGGCCTCCTGCCTTGGGGTCTAGCTGAGCCAGAAGCACCACAGCCCTGCTTCAGGCGCCGCTTGCATCCCCTCCATGTCGAGCTGGCGAGTGAGGAGCAGTTTCTCCTGTGGTCACCTGGGACGGGTGCGTCCAGCCTAGGGTCAGCTGGACAGCAGGAAACCGGATCCCTCTGTGTCCCGAGCAGAGGTTGTTCTCTTCTCCAGCGACAGGGACAGTGTCTTGAGCAGTTTTGGCCACTTCCCCTCCCCCAGACTCACTGAGGCTCCCCACAAAGGGGGATCTGCCCTTCCTTCTGTGTCTCCTGTCCCGGCCTGATTTTATCTTCCCCAGTTTGCACTCACGCTATATGGTTTTCTCATGGACTCTGTCTCCTTTTCCTCTCAAACTCCTTGATCCTGTAAAGGTTCCTATGGCTTCAGGCCTTCTCCATTTGAGAGATGGGACGATTGAAATGTAGGAGCTCCCTACTTTTCCTCCAACTTGCCTCCCTCCCCAATTCTTTTACGTTTATTGAGGAATGTTTTATGACCCAGTATGTGATCTATCTTGGAGAATGTGCCATGTGCACTTGAGAAGAGTGAATTCCATAACTTCAGGCTGTTGAGTTCTAAATATACCTGACTAATCCATCTGATCAAATGTGTCATTCAGGTCTATTGTTTCTTTAGTGATTATCTGTCTAATTGATCTATCCATTGTGTGAGTGGAGTATTAAAGTCTCCTGCTATTAGCACATTCTTATCAATAAGATTGTTTCCCATGGATCCAGTCGAAGCCGCTAGTCTTTGCGTGTACACAGTGAACCCAAAACCTTCAGAGCATGCTTCTTGGGAGTGGACAGCATCCAGACTACACTCTGGGTAAGACCTCAGTCCACTTCTATTATCATGCTGTTATTTGTGCTTGTTTACATGGATCATTAGTTTCATTTTCTATGAATGAAGAGCATTTTTACTTGGAATAGACATTTCTCTCTTTTCTTCTCCCAGTTTTCATCCATGTTTAGTGGATTCGTCAACACATTCTGAGCGTGTATTGTTTCTTCCAGGTCCTGACACTCCTTTTTCCCTCGTCTCCTCCTGCCCCACACGTGGTAAATCCAACAGGAAACCATGGGTTCCCCCTCTTTTGACACAGGTGGGAGTCTGTCTCCACACAAGACCCTCCTGGGAGCAGGACCCCTCCCCAAATTCCCACAAACATGCCCTGAGCCAGTGTCCATTCCTGACTCTATCCAAGCATTTATGACCTGTTGACAGCCCTGCCCTTCTCTCAACAGACACCATGATGAAGGTGATGACGGTTTTATACCCGTGTGTGTGTGTGTGTGTGTGTCTGTGTGTCTGTGTGATCTTCAGATTCCATATCAACACCACCACCTGGTGAGAGTCCCAGTGCTTCTGTGCTTTCAGTTACAGTTGATGTTGTGAGAATGGTTCAGACAATGACACCACCAGGAGTCTGTCATCTGTTGCTTCAATTTTTCATGTCTCTGTAACCTCACGTCCAGCATGCACTTTATGCTGCTTCTAGCAAGAGTGCACGTTGAGCTGGCTGGTCCTGTGATGCAGTGTGTGCATCTGAAAACCTGTAAAGCTTTGTGTGATGTGCATCAGGATAACTAAATAATTTGTATTTAGGTACAGGAACAAGCAAGTGTAAGCATCTGTTTCTTTTGTGCCTGTTAGTATATTTGTCTTATTGTGGACAAGAATAGGCAAGCACAGAATCCGGTGTCCAGGGAGCCTCCCTGGGAGAAACTGCTGTCTGGAAAGGAAGCCCCAGACCCTGACAGGAAACCTGCCTGTAACGTCCAGGAGTAATTGAATAAGGCTGTAACTCATTTAAAGTCCTGAGTAGCAAAGTGCCATGAATGAAGTGTCATGTTTGATTGGGACGAGAGCTGGGTGAGGTAATGAGAGGCTCTGTGGATTTTATGATCCTGGCTGCACACTGAATGCATCTGGGACTCCTGTAAACGTTCAGCTGATGTGCATCAGGGTATCTGTGATTTATTCATATTTAGGGACAGGAGTAAACAAGTGCAAGCAACTGTGTCTTTGTGCATGTTAATGTAGTCTTCTTAGGACAACACAGTCTCTAATTTGGAGAGTGCATAGGTAAGCACAGAATCGCGTGTCCAGAGAGGCTCCCTGGGGGAAACTGCTGTGTGGAAAGGAAGCCCCAGACCCTGACAGGAAACCTGCCTGTAACCTCCTTCTGTCCCTGCTCCTGGGAATAAAAACCAGAAATGTGCATAATGTGCACCCCCTGGTGGTGCTGATCCCCTTCTCCAGGGAGGTTTGTGTCTGGGCTCACCCTGATCACTCCTCACTGTGTCTCTCGCACAGAAATACGTGGCCGTGTCTTCGACTCTCAGGTTGTTCATCTGTAGATCCACTGTGTTCTTGGCGTTGTCTCTGGAGATGGTGAACCGGCCCTTCACGGAGTCTGCATACCTTGTGCTACTTCCATCATAGCTAATATATGCAACCCACTCCAGCCCCTTCCCTGGAGCCTGGCGGACCCAGCTCATGTAATAGCTACTGAAGGTGAATCCGGAGGCTGCACAGGAGAGTCTCAGGGACCCTCCAGGCTTCACCAGGCCTCCCCCAGACTCCACCAGCTGCACCTCACACTGGGCACCTGCAGACACAAGACATCCTTGTCAGGAACCTGTCACACATCTCGTGTTTCTCTCACTCACATCCATTCACACACTCAGTGTCTCTTGTTCACCACGAATTACCTTTTAAAACAGCAACAAGGAAAACCCAGCCAAGCACAAAGTCCATGGTGAGATGTCTGTGTTCTGTCCTGATCACAGAATGGGAACACCTGGGACTCCCGGGGCTGGGGCTCCTCTCCCAGCTGCAGAGTCAGGGCTGGGCCGGTTTAATCAGCACAGGCAGCGCCCTATTTGCATGTCCTCTGACTATATATGAAGCTCCAGATTTAGATTTGCTTCTTTGAAAGTTAACAACAATGTTTGGGAGGCACTTTTAGATCACTTTGTGTAGAAGGTGCTGTGACATATAAAGAATTCTATCTGTGAACACATTTATCTTTGCAGCTGTGTTTGCCGTTGTACATATCTTTCTCCAAGCAGGTCATGTTTAGTATGCTAATATTTTACTTTTGAGAGAAATTTAATCCTAGAGACTTTACTTTGTGCCATTTAATTTTAATGTGTGTTTATTTTTGCATGACAGAGGGAGAGGGAGAGAGAGACCAGAGAGAGGGAGGGGGACAGAGAATCCCAAACAGGTTCTGCACTGATGCGATTAAACAATTGGGATTAAATTCAGGAACCATGACATCATGACCTGAGCCAAAATGAACAGCATGCACTTAACCAATAAAGCCACCCAGGTCTTCCATTTTTTGCCATTTTATTTTTTTATTTTATTTTTTTAAAAATATTTTTATTTTATTTCTAGGAGAGAGAGAGAGAGAGAGACAGCGTGAGCAGGGGGGGGTCAGAGAGAGAGGGAGTCACAGACTGAAACAGGTTCCAGGCTCTGAGCTGGCAGTCAGCACAGAGCCCGACGCGGGGCTCGAACCCACGAACCGCGAGATCATGACCTAAGCGAAAGCCGGACACTTAACCGACTAAGCCACCCAGGCGCCCCATTTTTTGCCATTTTAAATTGTTGATGTAAATTGATATTGTTATTTTTTTCATATATTTTCTTTTCAGCGTGTGGAAATATAACATATATTCGTATGTTGATTTAGTATTCTGAAATTTTCTGAGTATGTTAATTGGTTCTAATATTTTTTTGTAGAGTTTCTAAGGTGTTACTATATATACAAACATGTGATTCTCAAACAAATAATTTCCTTCTTTCTTACTGATTTACATGTCTTTATTATGTTTTCTTACCTAATTTTTATGGGTACATCTTCAAGTTGGAGCAGAAAGCTTTCTCCTTTTCTGCTCCTGTGTTCTCTGTGTGGTCTAATTATTCAATTGACATTAGACATATCTACAGAAGAGAATAAATTTCATTTTCATGTGTATGAGTTTCCTAATAACAGCACACCCAGAGAATGAACAAAGTAGGTGACACTTGTGCCTTTTAGAAAACAATACAATGGATTTGTGAAGAGTTGACAAGACATAGATTTCGCTTCAGTCTATTCGATTGCTGAGGAAGTAGCAAGGGTTGTTTGCACAGCCTTCTCGGTGTTAAGCTCCTACTTCTGACGCTAAGGATGGTTCTTCAGGGAAGGGAACTTTCCCAGGGGAGATATATTTCCTGCTCTCAGGGGGACAAAGGATGGTCACAGTGTCATTGGACTGACTGTTACTCAGGTAACTTTCATCCAAATAAGCAATGTGACAAGATGATATACGTTGGATGGCATATTTTATTCTCCTTCCTGTTACTATGTGGAATAGCTATGTTGTGGATGATCATACTTGTCGGCTCCTGATGTGACAGGAACCGCTTCAGTTTTCAGTGTTGAATATGCTGTCAGGTGTGGGCTTTTCATATATGGACACAATGTGGTTGAGGTAATTTTTCTTTTTCTCAGTTGTTTGGGTTTTTAAACAATGACCATTTTTTAAAATTTTGTCTAAAGTTTTTTATACATCAATAGATGATGATGTAGAATCAATCCCTGTCTCTATTAATGCAGGGTACCACATACACAGATTTGTGTATAGTGAAGGAGCCTCTAATCTCAGGCATGAATCACCCTGGATGGTCACATATGATCCTTGCAATGTGCTGGTGCATTCACTGTGCTAGGAGTTTTCCATGTATGTCCATCTGAGATATTGGTCTTTAGTTTTCTTCTTGCGGTGTCTTTAGATTTCGCCCCACAGTACCGTTGACCTTGACATGTTTGGGGCACCTTCCTTTTGAGTTTTTGGTAAGAGTCTGAGAAGGATTTGGCAAAAATATTTAAATCTGACACAACTCATAGATAAAGCCCTCTGGTACTAATCTGACGTTTTTTTCCCCCAGGGGAGGAAGATTAGATTATGGATTCAGTCTTATTTGTTTTCATTCTGCTAATTTTCTATTTCTTCATGAACAGTCTTCGTGGATTGTGTAACTCTAGAAATTTCTTAATTGCACTTGGTTATCTAATTGTAGGTGCATAATTACCTAAGTATTTTCTCCTGTTGTTTTCAACTCTTTGGTATCAGTATGTCCATCCTTAATTCTGATTGCTTTTTGTTTTTTTTTTTGTTTTTTTTTAGTTTTACCTTCATAGTACAGATGCTCTTTTTTTTTTTTTTTACAAATAGTTTATTGTCAAATTAGTTTCCACATAACACCCAGTGCTCATCCCTAAGAGTGCCCTCCTCCATGCCCATCTCCCCTGCCCCCCACATCCATCAGTCCTCAGTTTTTGTCAGCATTCAAGAGTCTCTCATGGTTTGTCTCTCTCCCTTTCCCCCACCATTTCCCCTCTTCTTC